CCATGCACAAATTATGTGAAACTATTTGCATTTACCTTCAACAGAACTTTTTCCTGATTAGTCTGGGCCATGCCTTGAAGAAAATGCGCAATTATTGTTTCTTTTGCCAGTAATTCCAAAAAAAAAACGTCCAAGAGTTTTCCTCCAACTTCCTTTGATGATCCAAACGAGACTCATTATCTGGACCAAAAAGGTCGCATTAACTACATTAGATTTTTTGCATTGCTGAAATTCATCAACAACCAAGCATTATATTTGCTTGTTTACTGGCTTTACTCAATTTGCGATGCGTTTGGAAACGACAGAAAGCTCGACAAAAGGCAGATGCGTGACAGCTATCCTCACCACGCCAAGGCTCACCACAATGTATAATTGTGAGCCTTGAGACATATTTGACCGAAGCCAACAAGCAGCTGCCTTCAGAGCCCCTGTCGTTCGGGTAAGTTACGAACAGGATTTAAACTTTAATTAGACAAAGAACCCTATATCTGCTCCTGGCTTTGCAGATGTTTTGAAGATACTCATAAGATGCTTAAACAAGTTTTCCTTCTGAATCATGGATTTTCATGCCACTCTCGAAATCTCAGAGAAGAAAGCAGAAAGTGAAGATCTTTTAATTCAACAATCCTTAACAAATGTCAACAGCGATCTTGCGAACAGCCTTCCGTTGATGACAAACAAATTTATTTTTGGGAGTCCAATTATCCAAAAATCCCGCGCGGCTTTCAGTGCCCAAGCGACTAAAAAATTAACCTCGAAGTCTCGAAATTTGGCGAAGGAGAGGATCGGTTGCTTTTGGCGTCTTCTACTAAAACATAATGTTCCACCCCTACTTCGACAAACGAAAAAAAGTGCAACCAGAAGACTTCATCAAAACTGAATACCTCCTAAGGATGCTGGAGACCTCGCTTGATATGGCCTACTCACTTGGTATTTGACCACTTGGACAAAAAAAGATACTTTCACGGAGCCTAATGGCGGAGCGCGTTGGTGCGTAAGGAAAATAGCGCTAGATGAAAAAAACTAGACATGCCAAAAAACTAGCATAGTAACGCCTAAGGAAAACATTCAGGGCTCCGCGAGGATGTTGACGACCTTAAGATCTCTCGAGCCAGCAGCTACTTTTCATTTGTAATTAGGCTCATGCTTTGACTTCTGAAGATTACCTTAAGCTGCCTAATTTTGATGTCAGAATTGGAAAAACCGCATATGAGAAACAAAAGAAAAAAAAACTTAAAATGTAATGATTCATCACATCGTAATATTTTCCCATCAAACTAGCGTTAACACAAAACTTAAACCCTTTTCATTAACAAAACTATAAATAAATTTCCAAACCATTCAACTAAGTTAGAGTCGTCGTGAATTCATCCAAAAAACCAAAATGAACGAAAGAAGAATGAATCAAAACAAATGAATCAAAACAAGAACGATTTCATTTCCTACAAGTAGGAAAGAGAAACGAACAAACACATACACAAAAACGAAAAACAACATAATTTCAGTTGAAATAGAGCAAAAACGAAAATTGAAATAGAGCAAATAGGAAAAAAGAGAAACGAACAAACACATACACAATAACTAAAAACAACATAAGTTCAGTTGAAATAGAGCAAAAAGCTCTTTTTCTTAAAAATTTGCATCCAAGTCGTTTCTACCTACCGCATCCACCGCAAGTCGTTTCTACCGCATCCAGGCATGTTTATGTTATTTTGATAAACGCCTTATTGCATCAATTTTTTTAAATTTTGCCAAAAGTTATTAGCTTGGTACTTTCACTATGCCAATTGAATAAAACGTTTAAGCTCGCTTCTTATGCATTGGAATTGCGAGGCGTCCAACCTTTGGCAACTCTAAAATTGAGTAAATCAAGGTTATGAGTAAATCAACCCGTTTCACAGAAAAAATTAATTGCACAATTTTTTTCGGCTTATGGAAAAACGTTAGTCATATCATTCCTATATCAGTAATCATAGACATTTCATGCAACTTTTTGTACTAATGCAATCTTTGAATTGCATCAAATTGGTATGATTAGCAATTTCTAATATATAAAAATTGTATGAGTAGCGTTTTTGATCAACCAGTGTCGTTTACCAAAAATCAAAAGCAAAATCCGAACAGTCGACTTTAGCAACTATAACAGATAATTTTATTCAACTAATGTTAGTCCTATTAATGCTTGAAAATGTTTTGTTATACTTATCTTGATTTTCAGACAACTTGAATTGATGAGTATGATAAGAATTTGAAATGGAACTAATCACCCCACCTGCAAAAATGGTATCCTCAACGGTAGATTAAAACTGGTCTCATTTCAAAAACAAAAAAAAAATCAATCGAATTTGATTGCAAAATCAATTTAGTCCTAATTCATTTCAAAATTGGAGAAACTCTCATGAATTAAGACTATAAGGATTCAAATCTATCTTTTTTTCTTTATCTATTTTTTGAGAAACTCCAAATTGATTGCTATTAATTCAACACGATTTTTTCCCTTAGTTTTTAACAAATTTGGAAATGTAATCTTTCTAGAAATTTGTTGGGCTGTGTAAAAGGCTTCTTGTAAAATGAATTTCTCATCTATTTACAAAATAGTTCCAGCGTAATTCTTGATTAATTAAAAAAAGCCAAATTCACCTATTTATAGGCTAAAAATTTGGTTGATAATTTCGGAGAAAAAATTGCTTTCTATTAATTCTGATGAAATTATGATTTTGTTCTCTTCACCTTTTGTCTAATCGTAACCCAAATGGAGAAATACGCGTTAGAAATTTCGAAACTTGTTCGTTTTGTCCGGTTAATTTAAATCAGCACTGTAGAAGCCAGATGTATGCAACTTGATTGGATTTTCAATTAATCGGAGCTTTTATTTGAATGAAATTTTTGTGGAGATTTTTTTTCTATGCACACTAAATGCCGACCAAACTGTCATGTTTTTTTGTAAATCCCGTGGAAATAAACATGATCTACTCATATTAATTATCACTTTTTGTTAACGCAAATATTTCTTCGCAAACGTCTAGAAAATTGTATGAAACTGAAACGAATAGCTTTTTCTTCATATTATGAAAATATATGACAGTGATTTTCTACATGCTACTAAATTGCATGACTAGCAATTGCTTTTATTGTAAAAAAATCTGTATTTAAAATATTAGCTAATCACAACTCCCAAAACATACCGGCCTCTCAACAGAGAAAATAATCCGAAAAATTTATAGGCGGGATGCTCTATTCTGTTTTTTTTCTCAAAAACACTCTTCATATCTGAAACCCACCCAGTTCGTATACTTCTCTTCAGGATTCAAAACATGAGTGTTATTTGCCTCTCACAAAAAAAAGTTACCTTCTTCAAAAAAATTCTTCATGTAAATTTCCAATTGGAATTTTTTTAGAGATAAGTGTTTTTTTTGAATTCAAGTGTTGACCTCAAAAATTTTTCGACTCCAATAATTTTAATTATCCTCATAGGTTTGATTTTTTCTTTTGCGAGGAAATCAAAATATATATAAAAAATAGTTACACAGATCTTAGAGTACAATTTTTTTCAAAATTTTGGTCGCAGAAGCAACCGTACAAACCATCACTTGACCTCTGCCATAATTAATTTTCCTCGCCGATTGTTTGTTGACGTTTGCTTCTCACCAAAAAAAATGTGTTAATTTTGAACAAAATAATTTCATACAATTCCCATAGAACTCGGGCTGTAGCTGCCATTATTTAACCTAATATAAACTTTATTGCCTTATTTTAACAACTTTTGTCTTTTGACGAAACAATTGAAGTTTATCTGAAAAAGTTAGTCACAAAATTTCTTAAGTATGAAAACAGTGTGACTAAGATGTTTCCATAGGCTCCACTTTTGATATTAGACACTCAAGAGACATAAAGATTAGAAAAAAGTTTGAAAGTCATTAAACGAGCCAAACTTTTATCACATTCTTGTCGTTTTCACTGCAATAATTGAAATTTCACAGTTGTAACTTCTACATATTTTAGATGAAACTGCTTATGAGACAAACCATTTAAAAAACTCTAATACATTGGGAAATCTATGTTTCTTTACCGTTTACAAGGATTTTTTGACACTAAGAGCAATTCTCTAATGCCCTAAAACTAAATGGACAAACAGCGCTTTGAAACAAAATGTAATACGGTCTTTTAAAGATTTTGTCTAAAAAAAAGTTTCGTCTAAAACGTGTCAAGGTTCAACCGAACAAAGTTTCTCCGTCATTCACAGTCAGGGGCGGATTTGGGGGGGGGGGGGATGTGGAGAAGCGGGGTTGGGGGAGGCGGACGCCCTCCCCCCTCCCTCAAGGATTCGACCCCTGCCGACCCAAAGGGTCCTCCCTTGGTAATATTTTGAGTATCCATTTTTGGTGACGGTCCCTAAAGTTTTTATAAAAGCGCCTTCGGAGCCAATATACCCTAATTTTGAGGGGGAAGCGCGCGCCGAAAAAATGCGATTCTTCGATCAAAATTGTCCACAAATGGTTCGAAATGCTTTTTCTTGGCCTGTTTTTTCAAAATTTTGGCCAAAACAGGAAGTTTTTAGTCCATTGGGAGAGCTTGAAAAATCAAATTGGTCGGCCTAAAAAAAAGGTCGACAAAACTTTTTAAAATTGGCCCCCTCTCCTCGAGAAAATCCTAGATCCGCCCCTGTTCACAGATGAAGATTTAACATATTGAATTGTTTGTCAGAATAAAACCGTTAAAAAATGTTGTTTTCAAAGCTAAACAACTTTTCAAGGTTTTTTTTTGGTTTTAATCTGATAAAAATTTTCATCCATTATATGAAAAATTTTCAAACGTGAATCTTCAGTAGTTTAAAAGAAAACGGCCTGCACGTGAAAAAATTTAAGTTGATTTCATGACTTGAAAACTAAAAGTTGCAACTTCTATGTCCCATGACAGTTTATGGTTAAATTTTTCTAGTATGGAGGTGATCCGAGCATTATAACGCGCCTTCGACTGACTAGCGGAGAACATAGTCACTTTTATGGCATATACGATGGTGAACAAGACTAATGTTTTTGCTTGTTTTCGGTATAGCAAGAAAGCTTTCCAATTAGAAGCTAGATTTGAATAATGAGGCAATATCGCAAAAGTATAAGAAGGTTGATAGATTTTGAAATTTCAATTGATAGAATTGGCAACTGTCTTATAGTATAATTATGACCGTCTATTCCGCTGGAACTGAAGTTTCCGGCGCGGTGTTTTCAGCCTCATCTCCCTGTGAATCTCCGGGAGGCTCCTCTGTCTGTCGTTCCTCTGTCCCTCCGTCAACCTCCATTATTCCCCCATCCGGTTGGTTTTCGTCGGGTTTCGGGCTTCCAGTTTCTTTTCCTTCGTCCGGTATATTGCTTCCTTCTACGTTTGACTCCTCTTGGGTTGTGCCATCAACTTCAGCAGTTGAATTTTCCTCTGGGTTTTCGGATTCCAGAGGATCAGCTGGACCAGTTTGACTCTCTGGGCTCTCCTCGTTTTCGGCTGTTTCACCTCTCTGATCGTTTTCTTCATCCTTTTCCTCTTCCATCTGTTCTGCAAACTTCACCCCCTTTGCCGACGTGGAGCTCTGTCCTGTTTTTGGTTTGTTCTGCTGCTGCTGGTCGCCTTCTTGTGGCGATCTGAGGTCACGTGGTGTGGTGGTCCGGGGTCTGGCTCCACCTGACTGCTCCCTCTCTTTCTGACCCATCCTGGCATGTTTTCTAAAAAAACAAAAAAAGACACCTTCTTACAAGGCCAATTATTTATTTCCTTTTCGTACGAAATAAAGAAAAATAGAAAAATTTTTAAACTGAGTTCTAAGTTTCTACGAAGATTCGTTTGTGCAGGAAATGGATTTTTTGAAAAAAAAATAGAGGTTATTAAGTTTCCATATTTGGAAATTTAATTTTGTCATGCAAAAATGCAAACATGCACGTAAAAAATTGAACATGTATAAAAATATGCAAAACGCTGTGATTGATGAGTATGGTGGTAGCAAAAATGAAAAATAGAGACATTTTTATTTGTTTGAAATGTTTTAGAAGTCTTAAGACAGTTCAAAAAATACGATGTAATTTGCAGCAGAACGCTTCTTGATCACTTAAGACAGTAACGGTTTTCCGAGCTCTTTCCCATAATAGCCCCCTCCCAGCTAAAAACGAAAAATCATAGCCCTCAAACACTGAATTTGTTATTATGGGGATGGGGAAGAGTGGGTTATAATTTATTTGGTTGCTGAGGGGGGGGGGGGGGGGGGAGGGGGGTATAATGAGCACGAGGCGTACTTTTTTTGCTTTAAGTTTCTATTAAAATAAATTTACTCTGCCATTTGGCCTCTGTTTGTACTCACTGGTCGATGGCGACCTGGACGAAGAACTTTTTGTTGACGTGTTGCAGTTCTCTCACTAGGGACTGTATCTCCACCTTGTACTCCGCCTCCTGATTCTCCAACATCTTACACTCGTCCCGCATAGCCTAAACACTCAATTAGCCTCAGCACTCAGTTAGCACAAACACACAATTAGCCTAATACTCCATTAACCTAAGCACTCAATTTCTCGAAAAATCACAATTTTCATGATAATCACACTAAATCAGATACACTGGAAATGTGTTTCGCGGCCTTATTGAATCTGCGGGCGGTACCTTGAGCTGTTTGGCTTTCTCCTTGAGCACTTGTTGGTAGACTGCCAGTTGTTCGGACACTTCTGGGCCCGGCTGGCGACAGATGGCAGCCTTCATGTCCACATACACCTTCTCTTGCAGTCTCAACACCTTTTCTCTTTCACCTATACAGTGTAAAACTGACCTTTTTTGACTGACTCTTAAGACCTGTGACAAACTACAAAAAAGGAATAATGTACTTAAAAAACTTTCTGGCACTATTTGGGGTTGCTCCAACGAAACACTCAATGTCACCTACAAGGCAATTGGAGTGTCCTGAACTACGCAGCTCTAATTTAAACCCGCACATTTAGTTACACCAACTGGCAACGCTTACAAATAAAGCAAAACAACGCTCTAAGAACAAAATCAGGATGCCTAAGAATGAGTGACACAAAAGATTTACATGACGAGACTAAAATTCAACCGGTTAAAAAACACAATGAAAAGCTTTCTGAACACTTTATTCTCGGGTGCTGCCACGAGGAGAGAGTTGATCACCACACTACGAACAACAATAGTTTTAATCGGAAAATCAGATCACTCTCGAACGTAAGTTCAAACCTGACCTTGAACATTTGCATAACAAAAACCGGAAGAACATCACTCAGCTTGAATAGGTTAACGGAATCAAAAGCTTCACACCACAGAAGTAGAAAACTTTCTTAAAGAAAAGTCCAAGCTACATGGTAGAAAACTACCAACTTTATCACTAAATTAAAGCAAACGTGACCGGAAAATTCGATGTAAACTGTCACAGTTGCTATCCAGAAATTCAACTCACCTCGCCAGCTACCACACAGGTTAAACAACAATATACCCGATGTCTGCAAATTTATATTTAGGACCACACACCACCGACCATCTGTTTAGCTGCCATGGAGTTTCCCTCGGTTATCCGCACGCCGAAAATCTTGACCCCTAGAACGGGTTTCATAACACATCAAAATCTCCCTCATGAATGTGCTACACAGAGATAAGGTGCCAATACCAGCACAAAGACGCTATCACTGGAAAAGATGGTTTCCCTTCTACGCCTGGTTTGTCGCTAGATACCCTAGGGGAACTGCAGTGAAAAATGGAACAAGACAAAATCAACATGACCAGCCATGAACAATATTTCCGTAACTCTCTCTCCCTCGCCTTCTACGCCTGGTTTGCCGCTAGTGACCCTGGGGGAATTGCAGTGAAAATGGAACGAGACAAAATCAACATGACCAATATTTCCGCAACTCTCTCTCTCTCCCTCGATCTCTCAAACAAAAACGACCTCTCTAATTCAATCAGAAACTCAAAGCAGAGATCCATGTAGTTACAGCAAAAACAACATGCAGCTTTCATTTTATTTTTCTGGGCTGTTAATGTTACCTCACCCTCAAGAAACGAGCACGGATCGTAGTGCGCCTCGAAGATCGATAGAGATGCTGACAAGTAGCCACGTTATCATCGCTCCTGAGTACGATATTGCATGCAAACGAAATTAAATACCTGACATTTATTCACTTATTACGAATCCTATTCCAACGGGAAAAAAAGATAAAAACTCTCATGAAAAGAAACCAGAGTAGCCTTCTGAAGGAAGGGACATTGGGATACTTTTTAATCAAACAGCAATACTTGCAAAAAATGCTATAAAACAAAGTGAAAATGCTTGAAGTCGATTTTGGCAAAATTTGCCATTATAGTTATAAAATCTGTCCATTTGATCATAAAGCCTTTAACAAGATGATTTTAGGCCGATGTTTGTAGCTGTTCCTTCTCCTTTAATCCTGATTGGTAAATTTTTTTCGAATGGTTTTTCTCAGGGTTATCTGTTCCTAAAAAAAGTCAAGGCTATACACCTTGACTTCCTAATATATACAGTTTGCCATCGAAGAAGTGTATGTAAAAAAAATGTGCGAACGCCCATTGATAAGAGCATACATGAGTGTAATAAATGCGCATATTGGCTCTCTGTTCAAGCCATGCGATGCCTGAAATTCTTGACATTACATGAATCATGTGATATTTTTTGGATCTCAATTATGCATTGAACCGTGCTTTCGTATTCTGACGTACCTATTTCCCCACAGACTCTCAGGTAGCGACTGTTCAGTCCCTGCAGCTTCTCAACCAGTGCATAAGTGGAGGGGTCACTTCCCTGAAACACGCCGAGTAGTTCAACCGGTTCCACTCAACTTCAAGTGTCTACTAGTTCATAAAAGTGCAATTAACTAGATCAGTTACTACTATCAACATGACTCGACATTTGTAGCTACACTTATAATCAGAAGGAAGAAAGGGTCTTATCGGGATTCGAACCTGCAAAGCTCTCCATCTGTGCACATTGACTGGTATCTCCACTTCATCTTCCAACACTCTACATGCATGTCTATTGTGCGTCAGCTCTCGTCTTACCGCCTCAATCTGGTCTCTGCAACACAAAACCACTCACATTCACCCAGTATTGAAAAAAAAACATGTAAGAAAGAAAGAAAAAGAAGAAATGTCGAAAAAAAGGAAATGTAGAAAAAAAAATCTTGAAACAAAAGTTTTCTTGTTGTTTCCAATCACAGATGGCTCCAACCGATAAAATCTTATCAACTTGAACCGTTCAATTGAAAAGGCAAAAATGAAAAGTTTGATTATTCTAAAAAATCCTATTTCTTGTTCTAAATTAAATGTTCCTGTTGAATTATGATGAGTCATGTATTCTTTCAATCCAGTTAACTTACCGGAGTGACTTAGCTCCTTCGCCCTTTCTCCTCAACAAAGTCCTCTCCTGAACCAACTCCTTCACCTGTCAATCAAAGTTAAATTCACCTGTAAAAGTCACCTGTAAAAGTCATCTGTACCACAGTGAAAACAGAATCCCGCAAATTTGATATGCGTACACCAAAAAAAATTAGTCAAAAGTTCTCCCAAAATTTGTCTATCAAAAAACGTTAGGTATTCAATTCTTATAAGTTGGAATTTTAGGTAAGAGATTTTTGTCAGCCGGGGATAACATATCCTGTTCTGCTTACGAGGTACTTGGTACCAGATACAAAGGATAACCCCAGCCTCTCTTACCCCTCCCCCCGCACAAAGGTACATGCCTGGTCTCCGTTGAATAAAATAATGACCCCACCCCCACACACACACAAACACACACCTTACCTGTCTCTTGAGTGCTTCCGCCTCCCACTCTTTCTCGATGTAACTGCGCTCGCCCTTGGACATTACACTACTCTGCAACTTCAGCTTCTCATACAGTCCCTTCAGCTCCATGTCCCGACTGATGATCTGCTTGTCCAACAGGTTTCGCTCAGTCACAACCTACAAACGAAAAGAAAATGCTCAAATTAAACTACCCAACTGACTTCCCGCTGTAAAAGAAGAATAAGCACCCTGGACATGGCCTCCGCAAAAACAAATGCCATAGTTTGGTACATAAGCCATAATTTATTTCCCTACTCGCCCCCTCATAAATTCGAACCCCTGTCGACCCAAAGGATCCCACCTTTGTACTATTTTGAGATAACCATTTTTGGTGACGGACCTAAAATTTTTTCTACAGGCGCCTTTGGCGCCAATATATACTAATTTTGAGAGGGAGCGCGCGCCAAAAAAGCGCCACTTTTGGTGAAATTTTAAAACTGCCTAAAAACGCCTTTTTTGTCCTGTTTTTCAAAATTTTGCCTGCGGCGCAGAAAATTTGGGCCAAATGGGTCTTTATAGTGATTTAGAAGGGCTCAGAAAATCAATTTGGTCAACCTAAAAAAAATCGACAAAATTTTCGAAATTTTTTGAAAATCTCCCCCTCTAGAAAATCCTAGATCCGCAAAATTACTGCAAAATTGCTGTAAAATTCTGCAAAATTACTTCTTTGTTCATGAACGATCTTACAATAGGGTAGCTCAAAAGAAAAAATTTTTCAAAAAATTTTTTTTTTGCGTACGCGCTGACCCAGGAGTGTCGAAATGTGAATGAGCAATTGAAAAAAAAATACAGTCTTAGCTCTAATTAAAGTAGGTTTTGGAAGTGGGCAAGAAACAAAAGTTGCTTTCATGTTTTTTTGTACCGAGATGACCAACATTTTATTGGAAACTCTTAAGGTTATTTGATTTATTATTAGCTGAGAAAATTTATACAATTTATTCGCCATTACACCCCCAGAGGTACTTTTTTAAAAACCCATACTAATTGGTAGAGGCTTAAGCCAATTTTTCACGCCGTTGGCCTAAATATTGGCGTACGCCTCTGTCAAATAGTATGGGTTTTTTTTTTAAAAAAATATATATATATATCTGGGGTTGTAATGGCGAAAAGGACCGAGATTGGAGAGAGCGGTTGAGTTTACCTTGTGCAGCTCTGTATCGTGTTTGCCCTTCTCGAACTGTATCTCTCCCATTGTGCGAATCATTCGATGATAGTCCTCGTTCTGATTGGCACAGTTCTGCTTAATCGACCGGTTCAGCTCTACATAGACACACAACACAAATAAACATGCCATTTAACCTCAGCAAGAAAGATGAACTTTCTAGTTGTAGTTTTCAGCACAACCTTTTCAAACTGAAAAAAAAACAGCCACGCCTAATTCTCAAGGCTACTTCAGAAATATGTTTCAAACTTATGGCGTTTATAAAACAAACTGGTCTGTCATGACTAAAAGGAAATTTGGCGAAAACAGTCACAACTTCGTGGTATCATCACTGGTTGTACAAGTTTTTTTAGGAAAATCGGTTCAAAATATAAGCCCGAAGTTTGACAAGGGTAACTGTTTATTTTCCGACCACAATATTCCACGAAAAATTAAAATTAAAGAAAAGTTTTTGAGAAAAATACCAGATAAAAGAAAACTTGTAGAAGTTGCCATATGAAAATTTTAACGTAACTTTTGATCTTCATGCATAACCTTTGCAAAACATTAATATCAATATAGGTCGCTGGTGCGGCTGGGGGGGGGGGTTGAGTACTTAAGTTACTAGCCGAAATGTTACAATACACTATTTCATAATCTAAAGTCGCCATCATTGCTATCTAAAATCAATTGGGACTCAAAATGGGTACGCCGCGATCACCGCTTCCCAACTGAGATAAGTCGCGATTTTGCGCGACCCAAAATTCTCGGCGCAACCCAAAAGAGAGAAGTAGTGGTTTTGGGCGACAAGACAACTTCGTCACTTTGCGCAATCGAAAAAAAAAAGATAATTCGCTAATAAAGATAATTCACTCGTATGCAAAAAAAAATTAATTGTGCAACATCCTAAAATGAGACTTCTGATATCATGTGAAAGGGAATTGACTTATGGGGGAGGAGGCGACCATAACCAACAACGTCCTCCTGTTTTGCCAACAATTAACAACCTTTCCCCACACTGCTCGATCTTTTGTGACCCAAAAAAATAAGTCTCTGAATGCCCAAAATCGTGCTCTGAATGTCAAAAATCAAGTGCGAAGTTGTGCAAAATGGGGCATGGTGTTAGCGAAAAAGGAAGACGGCAATTAACTATCATGCAGGACTGGGAACCTCTGTGCGACTGCAAAGTTTTAGTTGTGTCATGCTTTTTGCGCGACCGTATTCAGTCGCAACTTAAGTCGCGAACCTTGACACAAGCTTGTCCGCAATTTGATTTTATGAACCCAACTTTCAGTTTTGAATTTGACTTAACTGAGCCAAGTGATCGTATTTGCTAAGTTTAAAACTGGTTAGGATAAAGGGCGAGGATAGGGGCAGTGTGAGGGGATTTTTGAACACACTAGACTGACCCTGCTCATCCTCGATTAGTTCTCGGAGTTTCTCGTTGAACCGCTCCACCCACTCGGCCTGAGTCTCCTCCTGCCTCACCTGGCCTCCCAGTCTGTCCACCTCCGTTTTCAACTGGTCCACCTCTGTCAACTTAGTCTGCATGTCCTGCTTGTTCTCCGTCATCTCAGTCTAATATAAGGGAAATACAGAGCTCTAGAATTTTAGAGGGGATGGTCAAGTGGCAGAGCCTCCGCCTCTCAATCGAACGTTCACAGGTTCGAGGCCCACCATGGTTAGCCCACCAGGCGCGGATCTAGAATTTTCTCGAGAGGGGTGGATTTTCAGAAAAAATTTGAAAATTTTGTCGACCTTTTTTTAGGTCGACGAAATTGATTTTCTGAGCTCTCCCAAGCCACTATAACGACCCCATTTCGACCAAACTTTCTGCATTGCAGGCAAATTTTTCAAAGAACAGGCCAAGAAAGGCGTTTTTAGGCACTTTTTGGAAAATATTGACCAAAAAATCGCGTTTTTTCAGCGCGTGCTCCCCCCTCAATATTAGTATATATTGGCGCCTAAGGCGCCTTTAGAAAAATTTTAAGGTCAGTCAGCCAAAAGTGGATATCTCAAAATACTACAAAGGAGGGACCCTTTGGGTTGGCAGGGGGTCGAATTCCTGAGGGAAGGAAGCGTCCGCCGCCGCCCCCGCCTCATAATTCCGCTACTGTCGCCCACCATGATTCGTGATTGTTGCTTGAACGTGAGGGAACAATACCCTGACGCCCAAAAAAAACAAAAAAACAGGTTGGCGAGCCATGTTCTCTAAGTATTTATCTTCATGAGCTGACAAGAAAACCACCTTTGAAGCTTAACAAGTTTGGGGCACAAATGACTGGGGATGTTTTGTCTGGGTATTTTTCAGATCTTTCGGACAATTTTGTCAGGGACACAAATGTTTGGACTCGTTAAAATCATGGCACGTTTTTTTTATCTCAAATTTAAATAAAATTAGGATAAAAGATTGCAGGTAGAATTTCTTTATTCATTTTATTGAAAACAAATAATTATTCCAGTCGAAATGAAACTGATATTGTTGATATAAAATTTGCTCTGAGCTTGAATATTCCGCCACACATTTCGAATGTCGGAACAAAAAGAGCCAAATAAATGATTGGACAAGCATTAACTCGCTGAAATTTTATGGGAGAGTTAGTTAACTTGTATCATAGTAAAAGCGAAGCATAAGCAAGACTGCAATTGACGTAAGCAAAACTTTGATTTCCGATTGCCTAAATAAACTGATGAAAAACACTTGGTGTAGTAAAAATTATGTTGATGAAAAAAAAGGAACTCTTTCAAGTTTTTTATGCAACAATTTTTTAATTTTGCCTCACTATTGCGCCATTGTAAGTACAAAGTTGTTTTTGCGGCTGGTAACCTAATAGTAAGGGCAACCTAATAAGGCAATTGTTCACCTTAATTCAATTTGGAAAAGTTGAATTGGTCATTTACGCTTCAATAGTAAGAACTATATCTCGCGTTTTTTATCCCAAATCCTCATGAAAAACCTTCAAATTCTGACAAAAAACGAACGCAATTGAGTAAATTTTTCTAAGTTTGAGCTTAAGACGCAATCATTTTTCAGATAATGTAAAAGCTATATAGACATTTTTGGCCTCTTCCCTGGGCTCTTTTTCGGTTAGTGATGATTTAAAATTTAATACGTCTTAACGACCCAAATGATTCTTTCCATGAGCTGTGTCAATAGACGCCTCGAAATCGACAAACAATTCGACATTTATGTCCTAAGATATTTCTTCCAAAATGCCTATTTTTTCTGAAGTGGTCAAAACTCTGAGAAAACTTAATGTGAGAATGTAAATAACTCATGGTATATCTGCATAAAAAGCTTTTAATTATTTAATTTTTTCGTATCACTAAGGACGTGTATAAATTTTGCAGATACGACAGAGGCTTTTTTTTCCGATTTTTGTAACAAAAGCAACGGAATAATTGTGCTCGGGTGGGTTTTTTTCTTCAGACAAATTTCGGCTTTTTAACTAGCCGTTTTTGATGAAATTGTTGAATAACATTTGAAAGATATTGTTGTCCTGAGCTTAAATTTGAAAAAAAATTATTCATGTGATCTTTTTTTTCAAGTTATGGCGGTTATGGCATTTTGGGCAATTTGGGATAATTAATGCGCGATATATTTTGTAAGTGGAGATTTAATCCATCTTAGAAATCCTTCCAAATCGATTGAAGGAACCTTGTTTGCCATATTTGATTTATTACTAGGAGCAAAATTTATCGCTTTGTACTTTATATGGCTTGTGGCGGATGATTTTTACATTTTAATTCATTACAATTAATTTTTGAAGTTTATTACTGCTCAATAGACTTTAGAAAGGCTGTCGGAACGTTCAGGGCTTCGCTCTGACACGAGTAGTCTGGTTATCATTTTTTGCATGCTTAAAATTTGATCATACTCGTTCCGACTTTCGAATAAAACTGAATATCTATGCTCGGTGTGGTTTTGTTTTATTCAGTCAATTGACGCCGATCGACATAATAGTTTTCAACAAACTTTTTTTTATTCTATTGAAATTATTGGTTTTCTGAGTTCAAATTTAGAAACATATTTTTACCTCCGATTGTTTTTGTAAAGTTCTGGCGGTTTTAAAATTGCTAAATTGCTAAATTGGTCAGAATTAATCGAAGAAAACAGAAATATGGTTTCCAATGACAAGTAATGGATTGAGGGGCAAATTAAGATTCTACAATTAGAGAATTTAAAACAGTTAGCTACTGAAATTTTGTAGTAAAAATCCTGAAATTCACTAAACGGTGGATTGATTTACTTTTTAACCCTTTTCAGTAGTTTTTAACCCTTTTAAGTAGAATTAAATGAGATGAAAATATTTTACCTTATTGTTCCGACTTTCGATACGAAAGTGACGGAATATTTGTGCTCGGGGTGGGTTTTTTTTCTTCAGACAAATTTCGACTTTTTAAATAACCATTTTTGACGGAACTTTTTTATATCATTCAAAAGTCAAAAGGTATTGTTGTCTTGAGCTTAAATTTGAAAAGATATTTTAGTTGTGATCAATTTTCGTAAAGTTATGGAGGTGTAAAAATTGGCATTTTGGGACAATTAACGCGCGATATATTTCGCACAATTAACGCGTAAGCGGAGATTTAATCCGTCTTAGAAATCGATCCAAATTGGTTGAAGGAAGCTTATTTGCCATTATTGATTTGTTAATTGGAGCGAAATCTATCATTCTGTACTAGATATGGCGTTTGGGGGGATGATTTTTGCTCAAATCTCAAAATAAAAAAAGGATTTGTTTACATATAATTTTTCCTGTTATTACTGCTCCATAGACCTTAAAAGGCAGTCGGAGCATTCAGGGCCTCGCCCTGATGCGAGCAGTCTTGTTCGTTTGATATTTGATCACTCGACAGGTTAAATGCAATTGACGTTCTCGCAAGGATATTATATTGAGTAAACATGGAATCTAAGTTAAGATCACTAATGACTGCCTCTTAAATATGTTAATTTAGTTTTCTTTGGTGTTTTTGGAATTCAAAATGGAAGGATTTTCCCAAGAAATCATGTATATGACTCCATAAATATCGCTTTTCCCCCGCCTTTGAAGATTTTTTTTCCCTTCGCAAGAAGTATGCAAGACGCTTTCAAGACTTTTATTCAAAATACCCTCGCGATTTACCCTGAGTTCGAGCATGGTGCGGTTGGCGAGGTTGATGTCGTTCCTGACTGCCTCGCACATGTTTTTCAGACACTTCTCCTGGTTCTCGTCCGACAACAGACTTTTGTTCACACTCACTAATGAGTCCTGTAGAGCCTAAACAGACAACGACATTCTCTCAAAGTGTTCTTTCTTTGAAAAAAGCAGGAACTTGCAACTTCTCAATCGAGAGGTCGGACGTTTGAAACCCACCGTGATTCGTCCAGAAAATTCAGCAAACCCAATTGTACAAAGTTTTCAACCTGGGGTACAACAGCAGTGCTGCGTAAAAATAAGAGATCAGCTCGTATTTTGGCCCCTTTGCTCATGAATAAATTGATTTTACAAGCAAAATTCGTTCTATTCGCAAAATTACACCAACTCAAAAAAAGGTTTTTTTTTCTCGCAAAGTTCCTAATTCGCATAAAAAAAACAGATTTCTTTGAAGACGTTTCAAATAAAGAAGTAATTAACCACCACACTAGTGAGCCAAAAAGTGCGCAATTTGAACATGATTTTAGTGGAAATCAAAGAATTATTTCCGATAATCTCAGTTCTTTACATTTTACACTCTGCACCAGATTACCAATAAAATGAATTTCTCCAAACCGTGTAACAGGTGTTGTTTTTTACCTATTTTGGCCATGCGGCGTGACCTGCTAGGACGATGACGGTTTGATATTTTGCAAGATCCTTCAAGATGATTAATTAACATATGCTAGATCTCACATGATGATATTTATGCTGCTAGACGAGGCCAAACTATGCATTTTGGGGGAAAAAAGGCGAATTCTGCAGCAAGGACGCTCTTTTTGTTCATCCTATTTTCTTTCATTTTCTTTGATCGTTCCAACAAATTTTTAACATGTTTAAAAACTTGTCCCTGTAATCCAGGAACATACAGACACAAAATTGTGCGCCTATTCAGGCAAAGTTTGGCCTCGTAATGGAAGCTTACAAGAAAACTTTTTTATCAATGTTCTGAAAAATAAAGTAGAGCTTCAAAGTGCGTTGCTGTCCTATCTTATATGTTAAATGAAAGTCTCAATGCACTATGGACGCAACGTTTCAACTTTTCTATCGAGTACAACGTTTAAGAAGGTTTAGATCAGAATGTTTAAGAATTTTCTAGAACTTTTTAGAACTTTCAATCGCATGAGTCCATAGCGCATTGAGACTTTCACTCTAAAATCTGGAATCTTCTAGAAGCCTTTTTGGAAAAAGGTCAAAACTGTTTAAACAAAATGAACTCAATTCAATTTCAAGGCTAGACTTTAGATGTCCACTTTTTTGTCCAATTTTTGCGATAGAAGATGCATTTCAGTTTGAAATGAACCACTTAAAAAGAGTAACCTCCATACTTAGAAACATTTATTTTGGCAAACCGAATCGAATCATAAAGTGATTTAAAACATTTCAAAGTTTTATATTTGGAATAGCTTATTTAGAAAACTTTTGGTAGCTCAAACGCTTGCTTAGAAAATTTTAAATCTTTTAAACACCAGTTCAGTATACAAAAAATAATGAAATCTTTTGAAGTCTCATAGCTTCATAACTCGCCTATATAACTTCATAACATCATAAGTTTTATAGCTTGGATATTTTGCTTGGGAAAAACTTTTGAAATTCGATTATAGCTGGAAAACAGTGTTGATTTCTATAATGTGGACAAAACACACAACAGTTGGAATTTAATGAGTTCAATGTGAATTGATTTCAGACAAAAAAAAATGACGAAAATGAAACTTGCTTAGAATTCTAGCAGACCTAAATTGCACTTTGTTTTTCGAAATTTGGGCCAAATATTTTACCCCAAAGTTTGATGAGTTTTTTTTGTTATTTAGTCAATGGAAAAAAACGCTGAACTACCCAGTCAACTTGTGACAAAATTTTAATAAATTGAAGCTCTTAATGAACCCAACAAAGTTGAAAAAGATTATAATAATCAAGAAAACATATAAATCATTTTATTTTATTTGATAGATAAAAATCGTCATTTTTACCTAACAAAATTCAGGTTTTTATATGAAAAAAAAAACGTTCTGCTTAAATTTTTTGAGAGAATACTTTTCCCTATAAGAAGCTCACTGTGATACAACGAGCCTCACCAATTTAATCTGAAATAGCCAAAAAATGTTTCAAAGTTTCATCGCATGAATCGTTTCAATAGAAAAACTTGACTTTTTGCCATACAGATCATTTCATGAAATTACTTGAAATAATTCAAAGTTTTGCAATCCGATCCTTATGAAATGCTTTGGAACAATTCAAATTCTGCAAACAGATTCGTTCTTTGAAATTAAATTTTTTCAAACCGATTTATATTCCAAAATGAAACTTTTCAGGTTTCTTTGCTTGAATAGCTTGATCATAACAACAACTTTTTTTTCTGCGATCCGATTTATCAATGGAGACGGGCTTGCTAGTACAGATAATTTGCGCGCGTGTGTGCGTGCGTGCGTGTGTACGTGTGATTGTGTGAATGTAAGCATGTATGTCTTTTTTTTGCATGAGTGTTTGTGTGTAATGGTAACTCTGTTTTACCTTATAAAAAACGCTTGTGACGGGTGACACTTTTTAACAGGCGACAGTTTATGACAAGGCATTTGCGAATAGCGACCGCTTGTTTGGCTTTGTAGTGCGGTGCTTACAGTACACCTGAATCAACCGCACCCAGTCTCAGTGCCCCTGGATCACAATTGACTATATTTTCATTCTCAGTCAGTGTTGATAAAAGTTACAAAAAAATAATGATAAGCTAAAGAAAATGAATTTTTGCCATTACAATCCATTATAATCGATTACAAGAAATATAGGAAAATTTTCATGAAACTTATACTTTTGTTTCAAATTTTATCTCATTTCCCGTTTAATACAGTCGCTACGTATCACGTTTCAATTTTTTTTTATTTTCTACATACTTTTTATATGTTATAGTTTTCTTTCTTTTTCAAAACTCAGTTCTCGGTAGCTAAACATTTTATGTGATTTACTTTTCAACACAATCGCTATTTGCCAAAACCCCCTTATATTTTACGTAGGTTAATGGTTGAACGTGGTAAACTTGGGGAGGGAGAGTGTGGTCCAAAACTGGGGAAGGGGGAGTAAACATTTGTCTGTTGAACGCCTTTGAGTTTATAAGTTTTTGCTAGTTGTTACTGTAAAAGACATGGCATAGAATTTCTCGCAAAAAATCAGTTTTAAAAAATGATTTTTTATCGATTGAAACGCATACTAAGGGATTTCTTACATCAACAAAAAATTATAATGGCTCACAAATACCCAAATAATCAAATCAAGTGCAGAACCTAATGGATTATAATCGATTCCAAGTGAAAATATTGAATTAATTTTGGTCAAATATAATTGATTATAATGATAGTATTAACAACTTTGTGATCTGAAATTTAAATCTGTTCACGACTAAAATCGATTATTTTTGTCTCCAAAATTCAATAAAACTTTTAAAAAAATAAAATATTGGTGCGGACAGTGTTTGTTTGTTAGTCCCTTTTTATGAATTCAATTTTTGTATTCGAGTTTTTTTCATTTTTCGAGCAAAATCAGGCATGAAAAATAATCATTGGATTGGTTTGAGTGATGTCGCTTAAAAACTCTGCTTCAGTCGAACATTTTGTTTCGTTCTTTTTTTTTACTTTTTTTTCGAGCAAAATCAGGTATCAAAAATATTCATTGGACTGATTTGAGTGATAACGCATAAAAATTCTCCTTCAGTCGTAAATGGAACGACGTCGAATTTTTTTCAAAATATGTTCCCAGTGCCCAGAAAAACCGGTTTAAAAATTGTGACGCAATCGAGAACGTTCGTTATAAGAAAATGTTTTCTTTTTAGATTCATATTACAATAAGAAAACTTTTTTGGATGTTCATTCAGCGCTTATTTGGCAATAAAGGTCTTCTAAAAGAACTTATAATTTTTCTACAAAAAAAAAGAAAAAATTTTCAAACTTGATTTTTCTAGAAAAAGAAGCTATTGGAACTTCATTAAGCGTTTATTGGCAAAAAAATTTTCTAACAATTTTTTTTGTAGACAAAATAAGAAAAAAAATCTTTTTTTTTGGTTGTGGTTTTTTCTTTTCATTTTTTGTTTGATATTCAATTTTTGGAAGAAAAGCAGATTGTTAATCGTGTCTAATTCGCTAATTATGTACAAGTTTGCTTAGTTCTTAAATCAAGCCACACGCAATAAATGACAACACTTATGTGAAAGAAAAAAAAACAAAAAAAAAACTTTTTCCTTAAAGTTTTTCGAACAAACATGGTCGGAACGTTCTGTGCTAGTTGCACATTGCACAGCAATCGGATATCCTTGTTTTAAATTATAATTCATTACGACTTGCAATTCTCGACCGTTATTTCTTGCCTTTTGTTACCAATTGTCACCTGTTAGTATTTGTCGCCTTTACAAATGGTTGGTTTTAGTTGTTGCTTGTTGTGAATTGTCGCTTGCATCTAATTGTCGCCGGACGGTCTGTTTTGTTTTTTGTAGTACTTACTTTGTCCTTTTCGAGCAAGGCGAGGTAGTTGTTCTGGAAGTTCATGGCCTTGGTCATGTAGTCCAATCTCTCTTTGTCTGTTTTGGCATTCTCCTCGAACTGGGATGCATATTTGCTCTTCAGCTGTTCTATCTGCTCTTCTAGTAGCTTCTGGTTCAACTCACTCTTGTCCAGCTTCAACGTCCTGTCTTTCGTCTTCTGGCTCTCATTCTGCTTGTCCTACAGAAAACAACAGGCGAATCAAATTAACGTCCCCCTTAATATACCTATAGTTCACACCCCCGATTCCCCACACCTCCCTAAATGGACCAAGTAAACATAACCCCCTCTCCTAAATAGACCAAGCTAACACCATACACCCAAATATTGACATTGTATTAGATCTCTGTTTTTGTATTTCCTCTGTGTTTTCTCTTAGTTTTAGTTTTCTCTTGATAATGTACCCCATTTTTTGTTATTGGTTACTCTGAGAAACAAAATAAAAATCTATCGCACGGAAAGTTTTTCTCCAACAAAGTTGAAGGACTTTTCTGGTCCTAAAAAATGTCAAACCATTGTGAAAAAATGTAAAATTCTGAAAGTAGTATCTTGGAAATTCGATTGGGCTCTTTTTCCTTTTCCCCACCATTTTCGAATTTTTATGAGTGTATTTTTTCGTTCACATTGTCAGATTGCTTTTGTAAGATCACTCGTTACACCACAACAATTATGCTCAAAAGATTTCGGGGAGAGGGGAAGGGGGGTTTGGTTAAGGGGAGCAATGATGTCGAATGGATTGAATTGAAAAATGGAAATTGATTTTGTTTTTGATAAGGTTTTAAAATTTTGAGACCTTGAGGACATCAAGGTGAAATGTGGGGAAAAAAATTTTTTTTTTGCTAATGGAGAATCCATTGCTGGTGTATTTTCGCCTGATTAGGTGAGCCACACGAATTTACCTTTTTGATCTTGCGGTCGTCCACCTGCGCCTTCTTCACTTCTTTTTTGACCATTCTGATGCGCTTGTTGTGGTCACTCTGATCTGAAGCAATCAAAGGATCGGAAACTTCTTTTTATTAAATTTAGGACTCAAAATATTGACTTGCATATTGACTAACTTCTCTAAATTTTCGACTATTGCGACCGAGATACGGTATTTCCAGAGTTTGTCCGCGACTTAAAACCCTGTACAGACCATGAATTTTTGGTCGCGGAATTAGCATGTGAGTTTCAGTAATAAAATAGAAGGAGAAACATCAAAAAACTCAAAAAACAAAATCGAATAGACTGAGTATAGGTAAGATTTGCGAATTTAACTTCAGGCGCATTTTTGGAGTATATTGCATCGGTAATGGAATGAAATGGTTCAAAAAAGCAAACATAAACACAAGACAAAACTGCTCGTATCAGGGCAAAGCCCTGAATGTTCCGACTGCCTTTTAAGGTTTATGGAGCAGTAATAACATGAAAAAAATTATATGTAATAAAATAAAATGAAAAAAATTCTAAAATTTGAAATTTTTTTATGAAATCATCCCCCCACACGCCATATAAAGTACAAAAGAATAGATTTTGCTCATTGTAACAAATCAATTATGGCAAATAGGTTTCCTTCAACCAATTTGGATCGATTTCTAAGACGGATTAAATCTCAGCTTACGCGTTAATAGTGCGAAATATATCGCGCGTTAATTGTCCCAAAATGGCAATTTTTACACCTCCATAACTTTACGAAAAATGATCACAACTAAAATATCTTTTCAAATTTAAGCTCAAGACAACAATATCTTTTGACTTTTGAATGATATAAAAAAGTTCCGTCAAAAATGGCTAATTAAAAAGTCGAATTTGTCTGAAGAAAAAAAAAACCCACCCCAAGCACAAATATTACGTTACTTTCGTATCGAAAGTCGGAACAAAAAATTTCTATGATATTGTGCAGCATTTTGTTCTGTGCAAACTTTTCTGTATTAATGAGACCAACAATTAAACCTCAAAAAATTACACGTATTCTATCAGTTAAATTTCATTTTGTTCTTCAGACAATTCTATTCAAATTTGTTGATTCTTTTTTATTTTTCAATAATTAAAAACTCTCTATTTCAACTGTGGTTTTGCAACTGTTGATATAAACATATGAAAGGTTACTGTTCAAAATTTAAAGAAAAAAAGGTAACGAAAACCTAACAAATAACCAAAACAAAAAATTAACCGTAACATTTTATTTTAAAAGATTTCATTTTTGTTTAATCAGTTTTTTTGACCTAGCCCAAATACTTTAAAACCATGTTGTATGGCTTGTTCAATGAAAGACTTATGAAGCGCAACTAGATCATCAGCAGGAAGTTTTATTCTATATTAATTTAATTTTGATATTACACCTGCCAATTTATTGCACAAACTTTTGATATGATTTTGAAACCTCATTTCGGAAATAGTTCCATCTTTGTATCATCCACTGATACCAAACAATTGTTTTTTTTTGCTTCTAAAGTGAACAAGACTGCTCGTATCAGGGCGAAGCCCTGAATGTTCCGACTGCCTTTTAAGGTTCCGACTGAATGTTCCGACTGCCTTTTGGAGCTGTAGTAACACAAAAAATTTAATTGCAATAAAATAAAAAAATAAAAAATTCTAAAATTTGAAAGTTTTTTTAATGAAATCATCCCCCCACGCGCCATATAAAGTAAAAAAAGAATAGTTTTCGCTCTTTGTAACAAATCAATTATGGCAAATAAGCTTCCATCAACCAATTTGGAACGATTTATAAGACGGATTAAATCTCCGCTTACGCGTTAATAGCGCGAATTATATCGCGCGTTAATTGTCCCAAATTGGTCAAAATGGCCAAAAAGGCTATCTTTAAACCCTCATAACTCTGCGAAAAATGATCACAGGTGAAATATCTTTTCAAATATAAGCTCAGGACAACAATGGCTTTCAAATGATATAAAAAAATTTTGTCAAAAATGGCTAGTTAAAAAGTCGAAATTTGCCTGAAGAAAAAAAAACCCGCCCCGAGCACAAATATTCCGTTACTTTCGTATCGAAAGTCGGAACAATAAATTTGCTTTTCAGTTGACCCAAAATTTAATGTCTAATGTCAATTATTTGGTCGTAAATATCGGTATCATTGACAAACATTGTGACTTCAGAACTTTTGCGGGTATTTGATAGATTAATAACGTAAATAAGAAGCAGAGTAAGACCCAAAACTGAGTTTTGAGGAGCACTATACTTCATTGGTTTTAAATACACTATGTCGTTATCAACTGGGACATGATGTATTCTGTTTCTAAAAAACGTCTGTAATAAATCAATAATTGTACTTTTCGAACCAAGAGATAAACATTTTTGAATTAAAATGAGATGATCGACCGTATCAAAAATTTTCGATAGATCAAAAGCTTCTGAATTTTTTTCTTGTGAAACGGTCATTAGTAATTCCAACCACTTTTAAAATTGGAACAACCTTTGACTTTCAATGTTAACTCTCGAGAATTTTGTGTGAAGGAATAAAATCTTTTCAAATAACCTAGTGGCAGCAAACAAATCGGTTTGAAAATTTCGCATTTCGTTTTCTCGCCGCTTTTGGAAATAGGTGTGACTTTGGCATTTTCAGTTAAGCTGGAAAATAAAATGATGCTCGAAGAAATTTTTTCAGAAAGTGATAGCGTAGGTTATTACAATTTTTATTTCGAATACTTTTTTGTAAAAAAAAAAAACATTACAATCGTCCGTTGGTCTGAAAATTTAATATTTGTCATCGACATGATAAAAAAATTTTATACGTCTTCTGTGCGTAGCTAAGTTTTTTTTCTTTAACCTCCGAAAAAATCATTCAAATTATTGTTTGTATCTCTATTTTTGTCTTGATACATGACGATTTCTGTTTTTGATAATTATTGGTTAAAACTTCGTAAATTTTTTTTCTATCTTCTGATTTTGTGAAAACAAACAAACACAAATGATTTCCATGTGTGGCTAATAGTTCAAGGATTTTAGTAGAAGTTTACGCAGCAAATAAAAACAATTCCCGAGGGAATTCATTGGGCAATGAGAGGAAATTCATTGGGCAATGACTCGTTGTAGCTTAGATGAAAAGAAAAACCGCTTATAAACTTGAAAAAATTGACTAACGTAATTTACTTTCAATCATGCTTTTTCTCTTTTTGGCCGCAATAAATGTTTGTTCACAAATTTTTGCTAAAAATTTGAAATCACAACCTTAACATCTTCAATGTGGCAGGGAATTTTCTGTCAGAAAACATTCTTTCAATCGACGAAATTAATGAAGTGAAAAAAAAACAAACAGCTTGCATCAAGCTATCCTTCTTCAGATAAGGAAAAATAATGCTTTTATACAGGCAGAGCCTTGAGAACTTCAACTGCCCTGTAAAATCCGTCGAATAATTTTTTAGTGTTTCTTGTTATTTTGAAAAATATTGAATTTTTAAATTACATGAGAAAAATTTAATTTTTGTATGAAAATGGTCAGCCGAGCAGTTTATTTGTTGCATCTGAGTTTTGGCATAAATTTACTTTGTAGTTGGGAAAATTTATCTTGGAACAAATCTTGGCGGGAACCACCAGCCGCTTACGATTAATAGCACCAAAAACATTAAGCGCTGATTTTTCAAAAATAGTTATGGGGTTCATAAATAAACAATATCTCTATTGAAAAAATGGTTACGATTGAAGTTTTTTTAGGCGAAACTCCAGTTGGCAAAACATTTTACAGGTCAGAAAAACTTAGTTAAAAAGTCAAAAATTGACTGCATAGAAAACCATCCCAACCATTCCTAATCCGCTTTTTCTCCCATTATCGAATTAATAATTCACGTTGCGCTGTCATTAACAATCATAATAGCTTCAAAACGCGCTTTCTTTTTCCAGATGATTGCCAAAATTGCAAAACTCGACCCTCAGAATTTCATCAAGAAGGATTTTGAGCGGTTATATTTTTTTTCAATTTCTGATCAAAAAAACATCGCTGATCTTCAAATGGTATTCAAAAATTCTGTTTAAAAGAGGCTTGAAGTTTATTTGAAGAAAAAACCACACCAATCACAGGTATTTTAACCTTTTTTCAAAAAAAAATTGAAACAACGAAATTTTTCTTCGTATGTTGATGTTTGATTTCATGAAACCAGATAAAAACTATTCAAACATTACAGATCGATGCAAAATTTTCGTAGAAGACAAAATCCCGAATGTTTTGATTGCTCTTTAAGTTATGACATATTTTGGAGCAACCGTACATCCGCCCTCGAAATCGTTTTATAGTGGGGGGAGGGGGTTAGAGCGCAGAAGATTTTTATCCAATTGAGCTAAATATTTTTTTACTTAAGGGAGATAAAATAACTTTTGCTCAACGTTTATTGTTGAATACGAAGAAACTGATTTAATTAAAGTAAGCAATTTATCAAAAAACTCATGATTGAAAATGAAAACAATGAAATCGATTTGATCAGTGAAAACAATTTATCAAAAAAAAACATTATTAATGTTCTGCGTAAACACCAGTTTAAAATAATTATTGAAAAAAAAATAGTTTTCAAATTATTTTAGGCGCGTAATTAAAAACATTTTCCATACCTAATCAATTTTTAAAATAAAAGCATTTGTTGATCTCTATAATACTTTGCTTGAAAAAATTGAGAAAAAAACGAAAAACAAAAAAATGACAATAAAGTGTTTGAATTGCCTGCTAGCTTGTCAATTGTTTGGAAAATTAGATAACCTAAAATGGACATTACTTGGATTCGACTGATTTGCTAATGGAACGAAAAGCATTGAAAATGAAAACACGATCAAGGTGAAGATATTCAGCTGAGCAATTTTTAATAAAGCTTCATAGGTGGTGTAAGTCTGATGGAACTCAAAGTCAACGATGATTTCATCAAACTTATAAAGAGTTCTGCTTTAGTTCTTCAAATTGTCATGGTCTGAAAAATACAGATGCGAAGCGGAAAATAGCTAATTGTTTTTTACTCCGCGCAAATGATGGATCAATTTAATGATTCAATCCAGTTCACAAAACTAAATTTGAAAACTAAATTTAGAGGTGAAGATGTTTCGTAAACTTTTTTTCCAATTTAAAAAATCATCCATTTCTGTAAATTTTTAGCTCTACAAAATAGCGGAAAATTCTACGAGCACAAGTATAACTCGGCGTAGGCTATTAATGAACTAAGTACCTGATATGATATCAAACATAGCAAGGTTTTTGCTGAGGTATCGAAAACTCAAAATATGTGGACATTTTGTTTAGTTTTTCCGATTTTACAGTAAATGAAATCTAAATTTTAAACAATTTATTATGATTATGATCAAAACTTAAAGCACGAAGGTGCATTTGCTCTTATAATGATAGCGAATTAGTTGAATAAATGGGTGGGGTGATTTATAACTAACCGTGTTCTAGCTCGAGTGTCTGCTGTCTCACTTCTCTCTTCTCGATCTCCATATTCACCTTCTGCTCCTCCTTCGCCTCTATCTTGCCCCTCAATACCCCACCTATTTTCTCCACCTTCTCCATCTGCCTCTTCAACTGCTCAGCCTCCCCCTCCGTACTCTGTACAAGTACACACATGAATTTAAATGGGCGCCGATTTTCAGGAAAATTCAAAATTTTTGTCTATCGTTCTATCTAATTGATTTTCTGAGCACTCCCAAAACACTATGAAGAGTCTATTTTGCTCAAATTTTCAAATAGGCAAGTTTTTGGAAGAAAAAACAATGCTTTTGAGCACATTTTTTTGCGCGCATCTACCATCAAATTTAGTAAATTTAGTAAATTTAGTAAATAATTTAATATTGTTCGGCCGAGAATGGATCTCTTAATTTAGTACAAAAGGGGACAATATTTCGAGTGCACAAGAGTGAGATAAGTCCCGAGGAGGGGCGTGCGTGATCGGTCGTCTCATATTAAGTACGAAAACGGACATTGTACCACCATTTAGGTCGCAACGTTAGTGAAACACCTCAAACCAGTTGACATTCAAAACTGCGAAGTTCAAAGATAGTTCTAAGATGACGGTGATTTTCAAAACTATTGGTGGTTTTGCAAAATGGGGAGTATTACTAGAAGCTTAGCGTGAAAAAAAAAGAAGTTCTCATAGTCTTCGCAACTAAAACAAAGCCTGAACCTTTATGCTGGCTGAAATCTATTGTAACCACGCTCGATATTATCATTTAAAGCTGCTGCAACCAAGTTTGGGCGTTTATTACGACTATTGCAGCTCAGTTAGATCTCAAATAAAGTTTCCATGATCTTGCAAATTGTTCCCAACATCATATTAATGTTTCCAAGTAACATAGCTATCCAGCCAAGATCTTACATGTTAAATTTTGGCCAGATCTTGTTTGATCTTGGCAATGGTTTCCAAGATTGAAAGGTTATAGGGATTAGAGTTAAGAACATGAGAAATTTTCTTCGGCAGCCCTGCCGACTATAAATGCCGTCTTTTTGAAATAAAACTGAAAATTTGATGAAATAAGAAATAAATTGATTAAATTATGTGTTTGGGTAATTAACTATCCAATTGCTGAATTGTTCAATCAAAGTTTAATCTATGGAAAACTTCTAAATGTGTGCCAACGTTTTAACTTTTCATAAGAAGGGTTCTTTCGAGGACCCATCCAAATTTAGACCACTAAGCCTGTTTTCATCAATGAAAAAAGTTATCGAAAAAATGCTTTTCAATCGCTTATTGAAATGTAAAAATAAGATGAACTTCCTTGAAGCAGAACAGTTTGGTTTCAGTATAAATTTTTCATGTATTGACCCTATCATTAAAGCAACAGAAAAAATGGGATCATGCAAAGTTTCGAAAAACATTAAAAAAACTTGTTTTATTTTTTTCGAAAAACCATTTGACACTATCGATTAAACTATTCTGATGAAAAAACTAGAAGGCTATGGTTTCTGTGGCATATGCTACAAACTAATACGATCATAAGCTGTTTTAAACTAATAAAAATTTAAGCGCTGTACAAGAATTCAAAGAAAAGTTGAAAATGTAGACTTGTGGCCAATAAATTAACAATTAATACAAACAAGACTGCTCGTATCAGGGCGAAGCCCTGAATGTTCCGACTGCCTTTTAAGGTTTATGGAGCAGTAAAAACATTTAAAAATTTAATGTTATAAAACGAAATGAAAAAAAAAATTTTCTAAAATTTAAAATTTTCTGTGAAACTCATCCCCCCACACGCCATAAAAAGTAGAAAAGGATAAATTTCGCTCCTTGTAACAAATCAATTGTGGCAAATAAGCTACTTTCAACCACTTTGGAACGGTTTCTAAGACGGATTAACTGTCCGCTTACGCGTTAATAGCGCGAATTATATCGCGCGTTAAATGTCCCAAATTGGTCAAAATGGCCAAAATTGCAATCTTTAAACCCTCATAACTTCACGAAAAATGATCACAGGTGAAATATCTTTTCAAATTTAAGCTCAGGACAACAATACCTTTTGAATGATATAAAAAAATTCCGTCAAAAATGGCTAGTTAAAAAGTCGAAATTTGTCTGAAGAAAAAAACCCCCCCCCCGAGCACAAATATTCCGTTACTTTCGTATCGAAAGTCGGAACAAAAAGTCAGATAGCTAATTTTGGTCGGAAAACCAAAAAATACGAAGTATCTTGGGAAGGAGAACAAATGAAATCGTGCGCGAACTTTGCGAGTTTAATATTGTATACGTATATTTTCGAACTACATAATTCAAATTAATTCAAATTAACTTGAAAAAGTGGCAATGTGTTTAACATTTGATCGAATTTTTTCATTTTGATCAACTAATTATACGTAATTTTTTGTAATATACAGCAAAATTTACTTTCACTGAAAGCATAAAAATGCGTTTATTGCCTTGGATTTGCTCAAAAAAATGAAATAGCAAAAGCTGACCTTGACTTGTTCGGTTTTGAGTTTGGTGTCGTTGGTGAGATCGTCCAGTCGCTTGTACTGTACTTTGCAGCTGTCTTGCAGGTTGAGGTACTTGGCTGACAACACATCTATCTCGTAGGCCACCTTCTCCCGCTCTATCTACAACACAGCGACAAAAAAAACTAGTAGCACAGAATCTTCCGACCACCTTCTTTCGATTGCAATATCTTTGAAAACTTTGTTAAACCTCAGTTGAAAAAAGATCGAGTTGTGAAATAGTTAGAGGGCTGGAAAGAAAAAGGGAGTCGGGGAAGGGCTGGAGTAGGGTCGGAAGGGGTGAAAATGCAGAAGGAGTGGAAAGTGCGATAAAGTAATGGGGTGGGGAGAAGGCGTGAAGGGGAGGGTGGTGGGTGGGGGTTGTTTGGTGACATATGGGGAGGGTAGGGAGTGGAGTGAGTGGTTTTAGGAGTACTTTGTGTTGCTCGTTGATCCTGCGGACTCTCTCGATGTTGACCTGGTGCTCCTTGAGCAACTTCCGCTTCTCCTCCATGTCCACCTCAGTCTCCTCCCTCATCTGCTCCACAGTGTCCAGCTGGGTCTTCAACTGTTCCCGCCTCCACTCCATCGCCCCTATGTCCTCCTCCTTCACCTGCAACTCCTCCGTCAACTAAACACAACAATCGAGACCTAGCAGATTTACAGGTGGAAAGTGGGGGGGGGGGTTTCCTCCGTTTTCAGGATTTTGATCTCCTGGCCACCCAAAGGGTAGCTGTTTTTCGTATCATCTTACTGCATCAATTTTCGGTCGACTGACACCAAAATGATTCTATCATTTCCTATTGACAAATGCCGACAACAAAATCAATGATTATCACGCTGTTCATGTGTCATGTCAACACATGTAGTTACCCTGCAGATCGAGGACATTTTCCAGAACTAATTTTCGTGACATTTATTCAATGGTTATGTTGTAGATGCAGTAATTTATTACTTGCTCGAAACACTAGAAACACAAAAAAATAAGAGTCAGATAAGCAGATTAAATTTTTAATATGTTAGTATATTAAAATATTGATGTGCTCATAAGAAAAATAAATAGATCAACAAAAAAAAAACAAATTTCTAAGCACGTTCCTTGCATTTCCAGTCTTAAATTACTCAAGACTTTTAAAGATTTTTTAATACTCCAAGAATTTTCATAATTTGCATCAAATATATTAGCCAATTTATGCTTAAGGAAATATGATATACTAAATTGTTTATTAAATCCATCGGTGAATTTGATTGTATATTTCATCATAATCAATTATTCTGAATGGAAATTTTTACTATAAAATATTGCATCTAGTATACCTTGAGAAAAATAGTTATTATTTTAAGATTGCATTATGTATTCAAAACGATGTTCTTCAAAACATTTTTTTTTCTAAAATTTATTTTTAATTTTCCGAAAATAGCCATGGTGGCTGGCTATGATGACTTGAAGCAAGTGATTTGTTCCGACTTCCGGAAGAAAATCACGGTTTCTTTGTGTTTGCGTTTGTTTTTTCTTGAAAAAAATACTCAACTTGAATTTACTTTCAGTAGCTCAAAAGACAGTCAGAAATTCAGGGCCTTACCTTGATAAAAAACAGTTTTCTAAGAAAAAGACTGCATGTTTATATGTGGTTTTTTTTTCAGTCAATTTTCGACTGTTTAACAAAGCGTTTTCGACAAACAATTTTTAAGCTTTTTACCGAAATTAATGTTTTAAACTCCAATAGATCAAAACTTACTTACCAGCAATTGAGTCGTTTCATTATAAAATGAGACTCTAAAAACATCTGTCTAATTTTTACAAAGCGCGTACGGGATTGAAGAATTGGGCAAGAACGGGAATAAACTAATGAAAAAAAACCAAAAACAAAATCTTGCATTTTTCCATTTATTTTTGATAACTTTTTTGAGTTTTGAAATTGAAAACGCTTTTCAGAGCAATCGAACCACTCAGAATTTTGCTTTCACACTTTCATAAAATCTTTTGTTGCGAACAATTGTCATTGCACGTAAAGTTAGTAAGTGTGGCGAAATGGCGGTTTGACAAAATTGACCAGCAAATTTTTGCGTAAAGATTTCTGCCCAGCTAAAAAACTTTATATCATCTTCTACCTGAATAAATGAAACAAACACAACTTATGATTATTACATGGTAAGCTCTCGGAGTTGTTTCCAGATTCTGACTATTTTTTCATGAGATTTGCGATCATTGAAAAAATTTTCAGATGAACTGTGAGTTGTAATTAGTTCAGGTTAAGCAAATGTGTTTGGGCCTATTACATCGGTTTTGTTTTGAGACCCTTGCTATATTTTTTCTACCCTACGCATGAGTTATGTTAAGAATACATTTGAGTCTAAATGATTTTTTTGCAAAATTGTAAAATCGACTCAAAAAAATTTCTCACTGTTCTTTTTTTGTTTTTTTGAAAATTGTTTGAAATATATTCATTCAAATTGCGTCAAATTTGGTAACTCAATTTTTGCCACATGTTTATGAAAAAAAAAGAAATTATTTTTTTTCCAAAAATTATGACGAAAGGTTTTTAATTAGTCATTTTTATATGTATTATATGTCATTTTTTCATATATATTGGAATTGCAAATGAACACCGCCCCTTTTATGTTTATCAACTCTGGTTGGACTTGAAAAAAACATCGTTTTTATAGATATCATATATGTTGGAAGTTCAACAAAAACACCCTTTTATTTTTATTAATTAATGCGTACGTACAAACACATTCGACTTTAAAAAAACTTCGTTTTCATAGATATCATATATGTTGAAACTGCAAACGAAAACTCCCTTTTATTTTTGTCAATTAGTGCGTACGCACAAACATCATTCATTTTGAAAAAAAAATTGTTTTTATAGATAACCGACATACATGTTGGAAGTGCACTTGAAAACCCCCTTTTGTTTTTGTCAATTATTGCGTACGAACAAACACATTCGATTGAAAAAAACATCGTTTTTTAAGATATCAGATATGCTGGAAGTGCAAATGAAAACACCCTTTTTTGTTAATTATTGCGTACGTACAAACACATTCGATTTTAAAAAAACTTATTTTTTATAAGCATCTTATATGTTGGAGGTGCAAATGAAAACTCCCTTTTATTTTTGACAATTAGTGCGTACGCACAAACATCATTCATTTTGAAAAAAAAATATTCGTTTTTATAGATAACCGACATATATGTTGGAAGGGCACATGAAAACCCCCTTTTGTTGTTGTCAATTAATGCGTACAAACAAACACATTCGACTTAAAAAAAACATCATTTTTTAAGATATCAGATGTGTTGGAAGTGCCAATGAAAACACCCTTTTTTGTTAATTAATGCGTACGTACAAACACGCTCGACTTAAAAAACTTTGTTTTCATAGATATCATATATGTCGGAAGTGCAAATGAAAGCCCCCTTTTTTGTCAATTAATGCGCACGCACAAATATCATTCAATTTGAAAAAATTCGTTTTTTTTTAGATAATCGACATAAATGTTGGAAGTGCACTTGAAAACTCCCTTGTGTTTTTGTCAATTAATGCGTACAAACAAACACATTCGATTGAAAAAAAAAACATAGTTTTTTAAGATATCAGATATGTTGGAAGTGCAAATGAAAACACCCTTTTTTGTCAATTAAAGCGCACGCACAAATATCATTCAATTTGAAAAAATTCGTTTTTATAGATAATCGACATATATGTAGAACGGGCACATGAAAACCATCTTTTATTTTTGTCAATTAATATGCAGGTACAGACATTATTCCATTTGAAAAAAAATTTCGTTTATATAGATAACATATATGTTGGAAGTGCAAATGAAAACCCCTTTATTTTTGTCAATTAATGCGCACTTACAAACATCAATCAACTTGAAAAAAAACTTCGTTTATATAGATATCATATATGCTGGAAGTGCAAATGAAAACCCCATTTTGTTTTTGTCAAATAATGCGTACGTACAAACATCAGTCAATTTGGAATAAGCTCATTGTTTGTCAACATATAGCTATCGTTTTCAAAAACAGAAAAAAACGCTAACAGTGATGTATTCAAACAGTGTACTGTTATGTAAACGCATCGGAGCAAGCGGTAAGTATTTGCAAATATCCCTTTTGACGTTAGCATTCGAATTGTTAATTGCTTTAGTCTGCTGAAAGATCGGTCTGCTTACAAACCGGTCTGCTTAAACACCTAATACCAACTCTCTAATATTTGAAAAAAAGAACAAATATGCATTTTCCTTCTCTTGGTTTTATAATGGCTCTTAGTGTTGGTAATTCATAACGTAAGGGACTCGCTTTTGATTGTGATTACAATTTACTTTAACTTTAAGGAAATGTAAACCTCAGCCATACCGAGTAAGAGCTTCCACCATCCCCCTGAGCAGTTTGGGGTATGGTTCTTTCTTGATTCCGAGTATGAAATTTCCGCCAATCAGAAACGGGCGCTTTGCATGGAGTGTTTAGCAAACTTAACCCAAAACTAATTCTGGCATTGGAAGATCTGAACATGGTCGATCGATCAATGTGAATGAATGTGAATGAATTTGTCAATTTTTCTATCATTCAATGTAAATAAAAGTTTTTTTAGCTACAATAAAAGTTATTTGAGAGAATACAAACAAACACATTATGCAAGTTAGGTTACGCATATCTTTCCTTTGAAAATCCGTATTTAGCTAAAATTTCTTTGAATGCACTTAACATGTTACCATTTCACGAATAAAAGTAACTATAAAAACTAGCCAAAAAACAGAACAATTGTGCTTTTATTTTTCTTTGCATCATAATGGCTCTTTATCTTCGCAGTTTGTAAAACAGCAGAATATTTCGCTTTTGATTACGAATTTACTAGATACTTTGACTTTTTGACAGAAACAAAAGAAACAACCAAACAAAAGGCCGGATACGGTCCTTAAGGTCTGCGTTACTCAATTTTTCATTTGATATGCATTAAACATGATGATGATTCCGTGTTCAAAGATTTCGAAAAAGGTGTACTTCTACTATTATTTAATAGTAGAAACTAACTTGTTCATCCACTTAAAATATTTCTTTTCGCGTCTACAACTACTAGATAAATTTCCCCGTCGCAGGAAAAGTGCTTCAGTTTTATGAACCGCGAAAAACATTTTATTACATTGCTTTTTCAATATTAATAATTAAACTGTCTCCATTCCTAAAAGACACCTGACATCTTAATTAGAATTGGTAAATTAATACCAAAATACCTCATAAACAGTCTGCTAATCTGCACTTTTTTCCTGTTCTTATACTCCGCCCTGAACTAATTAAAAATCCACCCTTATAAAATTCAATTCAAGCTACTCATAGAAAAAATCCTGATAATTTTCAATACTTTTTTCTCGTTCTTCAATTCCGCCCAAAAAAATCAAAATGAAGTCAGCTGTTGTTCAGATGTTTACGTTGTTTATTTTAATGCCAGCAGTTTTAGCCTATCGATTCAGACCGAACTACGTTAGCCCTGACAAACGAACTGTTTCAGATGAGTTTGTCAAACGAGGAAAAGGTGAGAATAAGGTTTTTACAAAAATTTTCACACTAGAAGCGGCAATTAATTAATTAGCATTCAACCCAATTTTTATATAAAAAAAAAC